CTTTATTATTAATTTAATAAATCTTTGTTAATAAATTCTTTTATATTTTTATAAATTAATTGGCATAAATATTTTGGTAGGCTTGTACATATATGATTATATAAGAAGAATAATTCTTGCGATGCTAATTGCCATTGAGTTACTAAGCAGCAATATATTATAATTGGTGCAGGAAAAATAATCTATTTTACTATCTGTATTTAAAGCTGGTCAAATGATATTCTAATTATTTATAAAAGTTAATAAAGGATTTATCTATTAAAGTGATTCTTAAAAAGTCCTAATCCTTGAATATAAAGTCTTTTGATAAAGGATTATATGCCAAATCTTACATCTTTCTCTCAAACTTTTCTTTATTACTAAATTTTATTTCAATAATTATATCATAATATTTGGCAATAACCTATATTATAACAGTATATCAAATTGTAAAATACGAATTATTAAACAAAGCTTATAAAATACTAATAACTATAATTAAGTTAATTGAACAAAAATAGAATAAAGAAAAATTACACTGAATCTTTATCTTTCTTTATATTTGTATAAATATATATTATATATGATTATGGGCTATTATATGCTTTTTGGTATTTTTTATTTAAACAAATAAATGATTTGTCAGATAGAGTTTTCTATAACCAATATTTGTAAAATAATATTCTAACAAATTTTAAATTTAAAATCATTGCCTAATAGCTATCAAAATATTGAGTCCAAACTAATATGAAGATTAATAAATAACTGTCAAATTATTAATTTAATCATATCATATTATAATAATATAGGATTTGAAATCTTAAATAATTGATCAAATATTAAATACATTTTTAGTAAACAAACTATATTGATTCTTAAACAACATATATAATATTTAAGAGATAATTATCAATGGATTTAAACAATTTTCTAATAAACTATTGCATTCTAAAAAATTAAATTTAATTGTATCTTTTGAAATCTTGAATTTATTAGTCAAATATTATGAAGTTTCTTATGAAACCATGAACTTTTAAAGACTATTCGTTAAAGATATTAATAATAGTTTAATAATTATCTAAAATAGAGTTAATCAATATAAAAGATGTTAAATTGAAAGTAAAATCTTTGATTCTGTTATGTTATTATCAAATATAAAAAATTTATTTATTTTAATTTAATTTGTAAATCATAATGAAAATATTAATTTATATTTAGAACAAGTTCAATTTTCTTCACTTATTTAGTTAATTTATTGAATAATATAGAAAAACATCATTTTGTTTTTATTTAATAGTTTAAACCTATTAATTTGACAAATATCAGGTTCTATTTTAGATCTGAAAATGATACAAATATTAAACTATAAAGTATTGAATTTTATCCAATTAGATATAAATATATAATTCCTATTTATAATATTTTTAATCAATTTATTTTATTTAAATATAAGATTTCAAATCAATAAGATTCTTGTAAATATTTAACTATTATTTCTTTAAATCACAAATACAATATATAAAATTTTGTTAATATATATATAATTCAATAAAAATATATATAAATTTAACAAGGTAATATAATTTGACAAAATAATATAATTTAGTAATATATATATTTGACAAGATTAGGGTTCCGAAAAAATACCAAATTGGTATTAAACTGGTATCGAAATAGTATTGATCTATAGTAAATTTAATATATGGGTTGTGACCTACTCATATGTTTTTATAGTAAATTTAAGTATCAAACTGGTATCAAAGTGGTATCGAAGTGGTATCGTTAAAAGTCCTAGACAAGATAATATAATTTGTAATAATATTATGGATTCTTTAAGTTTTATAGGTTGCTTAAATCTTTTAAATTGTTGAATTTATATTATATATACTATAAATAACTATATATACTATTAATAAATAAATAAATATTACTAATATAAATAAATTAAAAAACAATTCAATAAAAAATAAGTAAAATAAAACTAAATTATTTATTTTATTACAGTAGATCACAATTCATATATTAAATTTACTATAGATTAGTACTATTTATATATCAGTTTGATATTAGTTTAATACTTTTTGAAGCTTTAATATTCTTTAATTATAAGAAAAATATTATTTAATTTTTATTATTAAAAAGTTAATATAAATTTCAATAGTATTTTTAGCTTTGTTATTCAAGACACTTGTTTGAAAATAAATGAAATTGCTTTTGGCTTTGCAACTTTTTTATTAAAAAAAGCTTATCTTTAGATAAAATATAGTATAATACTATTAATTAAAAAATGATTTTTTAAATATATTTATAATATAAAATATGTTTTTTTGAATAAAAAAAAAAGATTTTTCAAGATTATGCCTGGTATATAAACCTACCTTCTTGGTATAAATTAGGATATTTAGATTAGAAAAAGGCAATGCTAAGGTTAGAATAGCTAGAATTAGTTGGTCAAACCTTTCATATAACAATTGTAACTTTAATAACAAAAGTTAATAAAAAGTTGCATACAATGTGCTTTGTCTTTAAAAAAAAATTTTTTTTAAAAAAAGAAATGTAAATAGAAAAAAGTTTTTTTTTATTAATAAATATTATTACCAATTTATCAATTTTAATTTCAATAATAATTTTTTATATTAAGTTAAACTATCAAACTGGAATTTTTAATAAAGTATTTATTGATATTAAATAAAGATTGTTGATAAAAGTTATATCAAACTAAGGTTTTGATCAATTTCAGTACTAATTTCTATATATAAATATCAAACCAATAATTTTGGCACTGTATCAATCAGTTTCAATATTTATCATAATTTATATATTTTTAAAATTTTGAATATTGTATAATATAAAGAACGCGTGTCACCTGCGCCACAGCTGGATTGATTATTGACACAATATTTTTAATATACTGTATAGGTGTAAAAATCGAAAAAATTTATGCTATATTAAAATTTATATCTTTAAAAATAATATCGTATCCAATTTTCAATTTTTACAAACTAGCATATATAGCCAGAACACAATATCAAGATGCGCATGACCATTAAAATGTCCATGCGTTTCCTAAAAATATTTTACTATTTATAATTTAACAAATGATGTTTAACCATTTGAACCATAAAATGAAACGAATTTAAACATTATTGCTTTATTAAGGAGGATGTGACCAGTTTTATAAAAAAATTATTCCAACTTCGGAGTTTCACATGGGAATCCAGCCGGACCGATCATTAAATCCTCGGTTCCAATAGCATCCACTATTATAATTCATAACGAATGAATGCACCAAGATCATCGTTATTTCGCGCCTGCACCGGAACCGATATGATGCCGAAAATTCCAGAAAGCTGCCACTATCAAGCGCGTTTTTATAAATACGCGTTTAAACACACTACAAAAATTCCGTCCTTTATCGAAGACAATAAACAATTGTATTGATTTCTTACTTTCCTGTTCATTTGTTTCACCATTGTCTAAAGGTTATTGCATTTAAGCTGCTTTTGATATAGAGCATATACGCGGAATTTATTTATTATAAGAAAACTAAGGAGTTTTCAAAATCTTAAGAATTATTTGTTAAATCAAATAATCTATAATCAGTCCGTTTATATTTAAATTTCCTTTCGAGATTGTATTTTTAAAATGACTCAAGAAAGCAACCCCAACCCGGACCTCCCATCCCATCCCAGAGCCAAAAAACCTCAAGGAGATATTTCCTTCTTACAATTATTTCGTTACGCAACTCTATTAGATAAAGTCCTCATTGTTATAGGAACCATATTATCAATAGTCAACGGGGCTGCTATGCCTTTGTTGACTATTATCTTCTCAGATGCAATACAAGCATTCGCAACGTTCACATTATCGGTTAGAGATAATGGCTTTACTGAGGCCGCTGGAGATGATTTGTATAATGCGGTAATATCAAAGGTGAAATTATTTATAATGCTTGGGGTAGCAGTATTCTCTGTTTCTTACAAACAGATAGCAATATGGATGATTGTTGGAGAAAGGCAAGCCAAGGTATTTTTGATGTTTGAAACATTTGTTTTTTATCGTAAAGCAATAATATCAAACTTATCCTATTAATAGCGCGTTCGTCAAAAGTATTATGAGGCAATCTTGCGTCAAGACATGTCCTTCTTTGATTCTGTTTCCACTGGTGACGTTACAACTCGTATTTCTTCCGACATCAACCTTTTTCAGGAGGGTATCTCTGAAAAAGTTGGTTTAATCGTACAATATGTTTCTACTTTTATCACTGGATTTGTTATTGGATTCACTAAAGGTGAGCGAGAGATTACAATTTCTTTTTTTTGCAATATTTCATTTCTTTAACTATTCATAAATTTTAGGGTGGAAACTTACTCTTGTTTTATGTTCTGGTATATGTTCTTAACTGTTTGTTAAATGCTTTATTTTTATTCCAATTCTAACCTTTCTTCACGAACTCGTTTTCTAAGTGTTTCCACTTTTGGCAATCACTGGTGGTCTTATGGGTAAATTACTTGCGGCCTCAACTCGACAAGGACAAGGTGCTTTATTTTAAAACCGATTTTTATGGACTTATACACACAAATATAGTGCTTCGTTTTACCTTTGCTCTTACTCTAATCGACAGATGCTTATGCGGCAGCCGGTTCAGTGGCAGAACAAGTCCTCTCCGGCATTCGCACTGTAACCGCGTTTGGTGGTCAAGAGCGCGAGCTACGGCGATACGTTAGCAAGTTGCAAATTGCATACCTCGCGGGTCGAAAAAAGGCTATTATTACTGGAGTGAGCCTGGCGTCTTTAATGTTTATCGTTTTTTGTACTTTCGCACTAGCTTTTTGGTATGGTAGTATATTAGTTGTGGATGGACAGCTCAGTGGTGGACAAGTGTTGAATGTATTCTTTGCTGTTCTCATCGGTGGTATGTATAGTAGATTATTATTATCCTATGCTTATTTTATCTATTACATAACCATTCGTTTAAATTACATGTTTTCTATATAGCTATCTCAATTGGCAACGCTTCACCAAATATTTCATCAATTGGAAACGCTCTCGGTGCAGCAAAAAACCTCTTCAGTGTTATCGACAGAGTGCCCGTTATCGATTCCACCGATCCCTCGGGTAAAAGAATTACGAAATCATCGGTTAAAGGAAGACTGGAATTTAGAAATATTGATTTCTATTATCCATCACGACCCGACGTTCAAGTCCTCAAAAACTTCAATCTTGACATCGAAGCCGGTCAAACAATAGCACTAGTTGGTGGTTCTGGTTCCGGAAAATCCACTATTGTCGGCTTGTTAGAAAGATTCTATAACCCTACTAAGGGGCAGATATTCCTTGATGGTGAAAACATTAATGATATTAATATTAAATCATTGAGAGCGCAAATAGGCCTTGTCGGACAGGAACCAGTTTTATTTCCGGAGAGTATTCGACAGAATATAGCGTGGGGAACGGCCCCTGATACACCGGAAGCCGACTTAGATGAGATTATTGAGGCGTGCAAGAAGTCTAATGCACACGAATTTATTAATGATTTGCCAAATAAATATGACACAAAGGTTGGTGAGAAGGGGTCTTTGATGTCAGGAGGCCAGAAACAAAGGTAATTAAGAATATGACTAGTTGAGTAAATTCTTAGTGATAATAAATAGACATTCTTATGTTAATTGTCTAGGATTGCAATTGCCCGAGCTTTAATTAAAGACCCGCCGATATTACTACTTGACGAAGCCACTTCTGCTTTAGATACGGAATCTGAGCGTTTAGTCCAGGAAGCTTTAGATGCAGCATCATCTAATCGAACGGTTAGTATTTTTATAGTTAATTTATTTTTTAGGAATCCATTATTAATTTCTGTGTACTTTGTTTCCTTCTGATCGATATACAAAAGACTATAGTGATAGCTCACCGTCTTTCCACTATAAAAAATGCCGACAAGATTGTAGTCATGTCTAAAGGAGAGATTCTTGAAGTCGGTCGTCACGAAGAATTAATTTTCAAGCGCGGAGTATATTATGGATTAGTACAAGCCCAGGAATTAAAGGTCAAAAATGATGCCTCGAAATCAGGATTATTCCCCGAAGATGAAGAGGATGACGACCTGTTAGATGATGGCGATAATAACGAGGATATGAAAATAACAATTGAAGATGAGAAGCGACCAGGAATGGCTTTGCGTAAGGTTTCCACAAAGGCGTCGACCATAAAATCAATTAAGAGTGTTGAGGAGATTATAGAAGAAGAATCCAAGGAAAAGGTGAAACAATCAGCGCCGTTTACTCGGGTCTTTAAATTACAAAGGCCTGAATATTTAATGATGTTCTTTGGAGCTATTAGTGCAGCTGTAAACGGTAATTTTATAATTTGGAGGTTTTTCTTTTCTCGGCGGTTACTTAAAATCTTTAAATTTAAAGTTAATGTTTAAACTTATTTTTCATTATTTTTAAATAGGAGCAATTATGCCCCTTTTTTCAATTATCTTTGCCACTTTACTGGATGTACTCTCAAAAACCGATAGGTACCGTACTAGGTTTACTCGTTATCTATATAAAAAATGTTATCACATGCATTATTACCATTTTTTATCCTCTTTTTTTCATTTCTTTCTCTTCTTTACTTCGCTAAAAATAGGCCTCATGAACTTCGTCACGATGCAAACTTCTGGGCCTTGATGTTTTTGTTATTAGCCATTGCTTCATTTCTCGCCAATTTTTTTCAAAATTTCTCCTTCATCATTTCTGGTGAAAAACTTACAAAACGCCTTCGTACAATAACATTTGAAAAACTTCTCAAACAAGACATTGGATATTTTGATGATGAGAGGAATAGTACAGGCGTATTGACCTCTAAATTGGCGATAGATGCTTCAAGAGTAGAAGGGTTAACGGGGACACTTATGGGCAGTATATTGCAGACGGGGACCAATATGATTGCAGGAATGGTGTGTATTTTTCTTAAGGATAAACATTCTTATTAGAGAATGAGGAAATAATTTATTTTTCCGCGTTTAAGGCTATCGCTTTTGCATATGGTTGGAAGCTAGCATTAGTCGTTCTCGCTATAACCCCCACCATTCTTATCTCTGGATACATTAATATGAAATCATTGGCTGGGTTTGGTGCAAAGGTAATTATCTAATATCTTTTAAATTCAATTTCATGTAATCTTATTTTCCATACATAATTTTCTTTTTCGCGAAATGATAGACGGCAAAAGCATATGAAGAAAGCGGCCGAATCGTACAACAAAGCGTCTCCAATATTCGAACCATCGCATCACTGACTCGTGAAAACACTTTCAAAGATCTCTACAAAGACTCTATCCGAAAACCACATCGAATTGCTCTTAAGGGAAGCATTGTCTCGTCAATTGGATTTGGTTTATCACAAGGATCAATGTTTTTTGTTTATGCCTTAGCTTTTTGGTATGGAGAAAGGTTGATCGAAGATCAGGAGTATGATATGAAACAAATGATGAAGGTTCTGTTCGCAGTTATATTTAGTGCAATTGCTGCTGGACAAGCAAGGTAATTTATGATTTGATTTTACATGAAAAGATGACGTGTTAATTTAAAGGTAAAGAAGGTAACGTATCTGCTTATAATTAGCACTTTTGCACCAAATTCCGCGAAAGCCAAAATTGCCGCCCTCTCGATTTTTGAAATTCTCGATCATCACTCTCGAATCGACCCAACTCAAAACGAAGGTAAAGACCGTCCAACTCCTGTTACCGGCTCCGCGAATATTCAAGACGCCTACTTCAACTATCCTGCTCGTCCCAATATGAAAATCCTTCGTGGCCTTAAATTATCCATATCACCCGGTCAAACTGTAGCACTAGTTGGTGGATCTGGTTCGGGCAAATCTACTGTAATTTCCTTACTACTTCGGTTTTATGACGTACGAAGCGGTGAGGTAAACATGGAAGATGTAAATGTAAAACAATGGAACCTGGAATATTTGCGAAGAAATATGGCGTTGGTTGGTCAGGAACCAGTGTTATTTGATTTAACTATTGGGGAGAATATTGCTTACGGAAAAGAAGGATGTACTCAAGAAGAGATTGTAGAATCAGCAAAGAACGCGAATATACATACTTTTATTTCCAGCTTACCAGAAGGGTATAATACGCCAGTTGGGGAGCGAGGTACACAACTAAGTGGTGGTCAGAAACAGGTAATTTTGAAAGTCAGTCGGTCGTTATTCAAATAATCTAGTGAGTAATGATTTTTGAAATTAATAGCGTATCGCCATAGCGAGGGCTTTGATTCGAAATCCAAAATTACTATTACTCGATGAGGCTACATCAGCCCTGGATTCTGAGTCTGAAAAAGTTGTACAGGACGCTCTGGACCGAGCATCTGCTCATCGCACGGTACTTAATCTCCTTTTTAGCCTTATTAAAATATTATTATCCATGTTTTAGAATTCTTCCCTTAGCATTCATTGTATTAATTTATTTCTCTTTATAATATAATAGACGATAACCATTGCACATAGATTATCGACCATACAGAACGCCGATTTAATATTGGTGGTAAAGAAGGGAAGAGTCGTAGAGCAAGGCAAACATTTTGATTTGATAGCAGCACGTGGTCTTTATTATGATTTGGTTAATAGGCAGACACTGGGTGTAAATGGGGGTATATAGAGGGTTTGCAAGTGACTTTTTTTTTGGACGACATCAAATCAATATTTTGTTATATTGCAGATTATAATATAAATTAAGGGTTTACAAGATATCTATATTCTAAACACACGTTATGTACTGTTAGAGATAATTTGTATCAGTTTTAAGATTCGAATATAATCATTGTTCAAGTTGAACTTATTTTCGGCTTGTAATTATTATCACTTAGAAAATATTATATGGCACCTGTCAAAATTTTCAAAAACAAATATATTTATAAGAACATGTACTTTGCTTTCAGAGGCGATATGCATAGTTCAGACATCAATCAAAATCCAGCAAAGACAATGCGTATGTCATTTATAACAGATGAAATTTATTAGCAAAATTACAATTGTAAGAATTTTTATTTAGAAATATCCAGATTCCAGATGCTAGATACTCTTAAAAAAAATAAACACAAAGTATCATTAAGAGATTGTACAAAAAATTTTTTTCTAAAAAACTATTCGAATGCCATAAAATAATGAAGGCATCAAGTTGTAAAACCCAGTAAATTAACAAATTAACGCGAAATTTAAATTAAATAATGAGTACTCCGTCGAAATAAGATTCCAAGTTAAAAACCGTTGAAGTGTTAATTCTTACGATTTCGGCGGAGGAGCTTTTGCGACGCGATTTACATGATGGAGCATTGGTTAGTTGGGTCACCTCCTGCCGGTTTTTCTGTGACACCAAGGACGAAACCAGAGGAATTCATTATAGAACATTGGTTGGTTGGGTCACCTCCTGACGGCTTTTCTGTGACACTAGTAGTAGTGGTAGTAGTAGAAATGATAGTGGGATTCATTTTTTTTTTAAAAAAAGAGAAGTTGGAGGTATTTTAAGAATTTAAATTTCGTGTGTTAAAAAACCGAATTTTTTTATTTTTTTGTTAAAATTCTTCAAGAATTTTATTTGAACTGAGGAAAAAAGAAAGAGAAAATCGGACGTATTTATAATAAAAATTTCTGTAAAAATCTCTCTTGAGATCTGGAAATATGACAATGCGACTGCGTGCGCAAGGATTGTACTGAAATTGACGAAACGGCTACGAGAATAAAACAATGTTGACTACGTATTGTCATGTTTCGTATGTTCGTGAGTCGATCTTCTTATTGGATATAAACGGTTTTTTATGGCACAGGGTTTAATTACAGCATGCAATTAATTAGCGTTTCTAAATAAGGGAATTGTTGAATACGGCGTGATCAGTAGAATTAATTTATTTTTTTTAAAAAAATGTGAATTAGAAATCACAACATTTAACGTCACCAAAAATAATGTTATTGCCTTGTAATTTCACTACACAAAATAGTGCATTGAGATAATGTACAATATTGTAATTTCAGGTCTAAATTAGGATTGCATTATTCTTCTTCCTTCATTCATTGAGAATTACGACCAATGGTCAATATTCTGATTACTAAGAAATGAAATCATATGCAAAATATGTAACCTTTTCTTCGTCGCTCATATTATAAATTGTAATGTAAATCGAGGAACAATATAATATATGTATCCTCTTCCTTGTTTCATTGTTATCTCAAACAATAAAGGATATGACTGGAGGATTTTTACAGTAGGTTGTAAGACGAAGAGGTCATATTGTCTTTTTTCACAAACGCATCCGGAAAAAAGATTTTTATCTCTCTTTCGAATTAGGGTGTCTAAGTTTTGGCTAGTTATGTTACATATATTGAATTGGCTAGTAAAATTGTGCAATGCTAAAAACGCATCATTTGCATGAATGTGTTGGATCACGTGAAATAATAAAATTTGTTATCATTATATTTATTTAATATTTATTAAATCTTATATGCTGTATTAAAATTAAAACGTAAAAAATTGCTTCAACTGTTAATATAATTTAATTAAAAAAAAAAATAAATTTATGCAAGTCCGAGAAAAAACAATTTTTTAAACAAAACTTTAATAATAATAATAATAATAATATATTATAAAAATATGTACGCATCTAAAGTTCTATTTCAAATGAATGATTGTTATTAAATGCCGATAATTTAAACTTTTTATTAAATTGAGTGTGTGAATATTTTCGAAAATAAAACAAACGCAAATCGATCCTTGTTAAAAAATAACAAATAACATTAGATACTGTTTGGATTAACTATATTTGAACTTCACTCCGATCTCCAAGTTACCAATCGTTTTTAAAGAAAAAATAAAGTTATTTTTAAATGTTATTCGGTAGATGTTTTCATATGCTACTTGAGCAAAAACATCTCTCATTTAATGACATTAGGTCAAATACCGTAAGTCGCGATGTGTGATACTTCCTCTCTGCAGAATACCTGCCAGTCTGCCAATCAATATATACGAATGAGAATAAAATGGTTTATATTGATTGGCAAAAGATATGCCCCATTAAAATATCCGTACTTATGGAAGTTCGAATCAAAATCTAGATCGCGTTTTGGTTTAATTATTAAGAAATCAAATAACTATTATCGGGTTTTCCGAAATGTGTAATTCCGATAACCAAGGAATTTTCGGTAAATGTTCTACCAAAAAGATTAGAATCTTGGATTATTTTACGGCAAATAATTCATCATAAGTTTCTGGTGTCAAAAATGTATTTAAAGAGTTAGGATATGAGGCAGATTTGAATATTCTTTCGCTGCCTATCACGTACACCTTAGAATATGTTCGCATACACAATTACCGACTTTATTAGCTTTGTTAAAAGTAATTTCCTCTTGATTATCTCTCTAACGGTTGTTACTTATGTGATACAGTATTACGTAAACTATTTTAATCGATCCTCGAGAATTCCCGGACCATTTCCCCTGCCATTTATTGGAAATTTACATCAAATTGGTGGCGACCTTTCATCTGCGGCAAACCTATTTCAAAAAAGATATGGAGATTTGTACGAATTTTACATGGGAAATAAACGTATAATTGTAATTAGTAGACCGGATTTGGTCGAAAAGGTTTGGGGACCTTTGTCGCTTAAAAGTACAAGATTTATCATGCGCAATCCATTTTCTGAAGGTCTTGATGAGCTTGGATTAGGCACAAAAGGAATGGTGTTCAATCGTGACATTGAAAGTTGGAACATGAATAGAAAGTTGCTAGTTCCTTCTATCTCTTCACCACCATTTCTACGCGAATCGATTAAATTATGCAGTGAAATCATTGATGAGGTTTTCGAATGTTGGAAAATCATGGGAGAAGGAGCGCAAGTGGAATTTTCTGACTGGATAGACGCTTTAACAGCTGATGTTGTTATTAGGACTGCAACGGGAAAAAAGGTGTCCTCGATAACGAAATTGTTCGATAGTTTGAATATTAAAGAAAAATTGGAAATGCAAGGGGTTTGGCAAGACGGTACTGACTTTATTCAAGCGATTCATACATATAATGAATCCATGGGTTTTATGATGTTACTTCCAACGTTCTTTCGAAGAAATTTTCCCGGAATCGGAAAACTGAATAAAAAATTCTTGGATAATAGAGATTGGATAATTAAGGAGTTGGATAAAATGGTCGCAGAAAGAAGAAGAGAAATTGAAAGCATACCGTTGGATCAACCTCTCGAACAAACTATTTTAACTTTACTACTCGTCACGAATACCGAAAGGGATTCGAAGAAAAATTCATCTAGTAAATTAGATAGGCCTTTAACAAACGAGGAAATAATTCCAATAATACGCGAAGTGTTTACTGGTGGATTGGATACTACAGCAAATACTTTATCGTTCATCGGTTTTTATATTGCCAAACATCGGGATGTTTATTTGAAAATGAGAAAGGAGGTATTGGATGTTTATGGCACACTAGATAATCCTAATATTACATTCGAATCTTATGGGAAACTCAAGTATATTGAAGCCGTCATTAACGAAAGCATCCGTATTTTTCCTACCGTATCAATAATCGCTCGTACCTCGGTCGAAGAGGAGGAATTTGACGGGTTCACCATTCAGCCCGATACAGCCATCTATACGGATTTTAAAGCTTTGGGCAATGATCCCAAGTACTTTAAAGAACCCGAAATTTTTAATCCTGACAGATTCTTTAACGATAAGGAGTCCATAGGCAAATACAGCCACCTGCCTTTTGGAAATGGTGTACGCATGTGTCCTGGCCGTTTATGGGCGATTGTTCAAATGAAAACATTTCTGGTTAAGCTTTTATGTAAATTTGATATCGAACCAGTTTGCGAAAACGATATTCCAAAATACGTTTATGCTACCGTAAATCGACCTGTAGATATAAAACTACTTCTTAAGACCAGGAAGGATTAACATTACGTGCCCACAGTGTACATACGTATCATATATTGCGTTTGACATCGATTATATATTATTTACCATTATTACCTTATTGGCAACCGTAAGCATTTCCGGATTATACTTGGCCAATCAAATTCTAATAATGTATGTATAAACAAATAAATAAATAACTTGCAAAGTATGAAATTACATATATAGAATTAACTTTAATGCAAGATGTTTCGTGTTACTTGAAAAAGTCATTAAAATTAAATGTGAATATTTAAATTAAAAATCGCATATAAATTATTATGTCTAAAGTAGCAGTTTTATTTTTCTTAAAGATAAATTTTATACCTTTTAATTTGTTTAGATTAATTAATACAGTAACTATATGTACATTTTATGTATTGTATGTTTTTTTCAAATTTTGCTTTTTATTTTTTAAGCAATAATTACCGTAGTCATCATCATTATATTTTATGACTTTGTATTTTACACAAACAAAATAGTATTTTTTTTGAGAAAGTATCAACTTATATACTTTTAAAATAATTTTACGTATAATCGAAAATTTAGCGGTCAGTAAATTGTGTGAGCTTACGGAAAATACCGAAGTGTCCTATTTCCATAAGTTAAATGACAGGTAATGATGTAAAATATTCCCTCTTTCCCGAATAGTCTTTTACAGGAGATATGTCACCCGTGCGTAGTAAAAAATTAAAAACTTATCAAAGAAAACGTCGATTTAGTATTTCCCCCAAGCCCTTTCGACGTCGTCCAATCACGAAACCTTCCCAACTTTCATCACGTCGTCGCAAAGTCCAAGAAATCTCAAAAACTTTGAATAACGCAAAAAATCAGGCATCAGGATCAGATAGTGATGTTTTCGTTAAAGGTTTTAATAGACGCGGTAGGAAACCTAATAATATCTTTCCTGTTGCGGATGTCATTGATTATGATCTAAAAGGTAACAGTTTTCCGATTGTTATTTTCTATTCTAAAACTATTCCTTCAAGAACATTTTCTAAACTATTCAATAGTGCTATTTGTTAGTCTGTTCTCTGGAAAGAAAAGTATGTCGACCGGCCATCATTTCTCGTCATCTTTAAATCATTTTTATGACTGCTTGGTGGAAAGTGGTATGAAACCTTTCGCTTGTTATGTGATATTCACAAAAAAATGAAATGGAATGAAAGACAAAACTATTAATTACAGGATTAACTGGCGGAGTAAAGGTCAACTATCTTGATGATAGGCGTTTGGCGCGTGATTTTAAATTGGGAATTGTTACATTGATTTGTCGACCTGAGAATCGTTTAAAGGTGTGTAATGCGTTCAGCTTTTTGACCCGGGCAAGAAGCTAAGCATGTTGCTTTCATATGCGCATTTCAGAAAAAGTTGTCAATAGATGCGATCTCAGGTGCTATTCCAAATCTCATCAAAAAAGTCGAGATGTACCATCCAAGATATCTATGCTTCATGGGTAAATCGGGTTATGAAGCATTGATGGAATTCCGAATTCGTTCGTCTTTGAGATCGCGACGAAAGAAATCAAAGGATGTGAAATGGGGTTTACAACCCACAATAATTACTTGGAATGGTGATAATCATCCAAGTCATACCAAAATATTTGTGACCATGTCAACGAGTGAACGCACCGGAAAATATAGCAAAGAGGAACTGGTTAGTTCTTTTAAGGAGTTGAATAAGTTATTGTTCAAGGAGAAATTTCCGCAAATCGGAAAAGTAGAAAACGGTATTTATGCAGATGATGAAAGTTATTCCTCAAGTGAACATTTGGATATGCTGAATGCGTGCGATGACGAAGTAATCAGTCAAGGGTTCCTTTCTCATTCTAACGGTTACGATGTTCCAACAAAGCATGCGAAACAAAGAAAATGCAATAAAATTGAAAAGGATATCATTGGTGCGATGGAAGAGCTTCAATGTGACATGGAAATTAACTACCACGAAGAGCAAGATCAATGCATACCATCTTTCCATAATAATAATTTGTCTCCACAGGGCGAAGATTTCATGAAAGTGCCATCGCAGAATTATGCTTATTCCAATGAAACTCGCAGGTATTCAGTCGCTTTCTCAAACTCAAAGGTATATTCTTGGATATGTCAAGTGCACGATGAAATGAATGGTGATAAAGGTCAAGGAAGCAAATTAGATTTTACGCCACCTAAATCTTTTAAGGCGATGAAATGGTAGACGATTGATATATCTCCAAGTCATGATCAAGACACTGTGTATGCGTTTAGAGGCGTAGAAAGAATCCAATCAACTTGCATTAGACAAATATTAGTCAATTCTGTTTCCTGGGAGGAACTTGTTTCGTTAACAAAAGTTTTTATAACTTTGCATGTACTCGCACTCTTGCTTGTGATAAAATATACAGGTACAATAATTTATTTGATCCAATAAATAATGTTATGAGATGGTCAGATGTGATAGTCAGTATGAAGTAGTTAATGCATCTATCTCCTTTTCGAATGATGAATAATAATTTAAATTCATGAGTCGATTAGTAAGGGCGCAAATATCCGTCACAGTACTGATATCTGACGCTACTGCGATGGTTTGTTTGGGTAGTTCCAGGCTTGAATGAGTTTACATGTGGGTACTATAATATAAATCTCATGAACAATTGACAAATAATACGATTGGATTAAGCATATGAATGTGTACTCACTTTCTTCCTCGCACGTCTTGAGTAGAGACCGTGACAATGCCTGCAACATCGGACCAAGGTATCCTTGTAGCGACAATATTTGTGAGCTTTGGCATTTGTACAGAAGAAGCAATCAGTGATCCAGCTTGGAATCTTTTTCCACTTTCTAATAAACCAGGATAATTCGTCTACTCCATCATATGGAGGCTTGATTTTTCTAGAAAAGATGGTACGAGAATGTGCCCAAATTTCTTGAGTATATTTGTTTTCCGGTGCGTCTAGCCAACTTCTCCACTGTTTGCAAACTCGGGTCAGGGAATACAAGTCAGACGGTGGTAAGTAACTACACACTCTGGTAAAAGTTTCGACAGGCAATCTTAGGGCATATGGAATGGGTTGAGGATTGCGAAGAAGCCTACGTTTTTCAGCGCGGCGACGAGATTTATATTGAGCCTTACGTTTCTTAAGATAGATGGCACGATTTTTAGAAAGTTCTTTCATGCGTTTTTGGTCTGAAAAAATTCTGTTATTCGGCATGAGAAGACAACGATAAAACGCATATCCCAATTACTGCACCTTTCTCTTGGTTAGATTTATTCTTCTCAGATGGGATATTGAGATTTGATTCAACCATTCTTTCTTTTTTTGAGCTGTAATTTTATGTTAATTTTTACCACACCATTGCGACCGCTGCGGCGAAAAAAGTGTACTGTCGATCATGATATTTGAGGATTTATATGATTCCGGAAACGACGTGAGAAAGCCATCCTATCGACAATGGTCTCTTCCGACATGATCTCAGTCTCAGTCAACAATATTTCTTCCTTCTACCAGAATATAGAATACCTTTTTCGTTGTAAATCGAATTTACAGAACCAAGCAATAAATTATTATTAAGACTTTTTTATATGTTTGTAAGGGACCTTAGCATATCCGTACTACCTATATTTTTATTATTAGAAAAAATCAAATTTATTTCTATCACATAGACCCGATGTCATTTTCAAACCAAATACTACAATATATTAAATATTACTTCGAGACCAGACCGATCAAATTTCAAGATTGGAGAAGTGACTGTAAATAATTCATCAAATTGAAAACCAGAGTTCTCTTTGCATAAAACCTTCACATTCCATTCCAAACCGGATTTTAACGTCGATACTATAACTGACAATTCTTATGACATTTAAAGATGCAATTGTATCTTAATATAGGGTGCCATTGACCCTTACATTCGTGTTGACAATGTTTTTTACATCTCGGATTTACGTTTCTTCCAATAACTCCGCTATTGTCCGTATTTTCTTCATGAAGAACATGGGTATCTTTTGTTATTTTTCCCAATCTGTTGGAAGATGAAGATTGGATTTCGTTTATCGAGGGGATAAGAGGATTTTTGGTGATTTGAGAGTCGTTGAGTTGAGAATAAGACATTTCCAAGAGCATGCCGAGGAACAATAAAACAAAGTAAATTCTGAACATCCTTTGATGTGTATTTGCGGCAAGGATTAATCTTTATTTCATAGAAAGGAGTGGTGATTGGAGTGTGTGTGACTCCTTTTATATCGTATGGAAATATTTACTATTTTAGACTTCTATTCCATGTCTTAGTTAAAACAAGAGGTCAATCATATTAAGATAGGATAAAAGTTTATTTTCGACTGTGAATAAAGTGTTAAGAGCTTTCTGGGTTCTCTTTAAGTACAATTAGGAACGCGTCACTTGTCACCTGTGTCATCCGGTCCAAAACGGGGTAAAAAGATGACCAGATAAAATTCCGATGCATGGATGATCATTAAAAAAATGTCTCTTCGTAATATTTCTTCAACATTTCATAAGTCTCGATTAGGGCTTCATCAGATCTTACCAACTTTTACCAACTCAAACCCTTTTTTCAACCATCATTTTATTAGTATTCGGAATAATACTTTAGATCATTCCACCGATGGTTTATTCCCCCTGCACTTTCGCTTTCGGAAAAATTTTCTTAGGATCGTATTTTCACAATCGACATGCTGGAATATCGTTCCATACCGAAGTTACGTTGGCAGAGCGCAAACGACCATCAAAGACTTGATGAAAAGTAAGATATCCTTAGGTCCAATGAATTCAAAAAATGCCATAGAAAGAATAAGACAAAAAAAGATAAAGCTTGAGCGAAAGGAAGCTAGTCAGAGAAAAAGAAACGCCCCGATAAAAAAGAATGCTGCCAGCCTTGCACAGAGATTAAAAGCAAAACTACAGAATGATAATGATGTCAACATTTCCACCACTCCTGATACACTTTTGGAAAGTGACATCGCTCGAAGTAGTGTCACGACCACAATAGATGAGAATATGATGAGTAAAACGAGTAGTGGCACGCAACGACAAAAGATTCGAAGAACCATTAATAAATTTAACCAAATGTCTTCGGCTGATGTTAGATTCGTGGATAAAGAGGATAATGGAGAAAAAGATGTCAAGATCACTCTTGAAAGTTTGCTGGAGGGAAATCTTGAGAATGATTCCAAAGCAATCAATAAGAAAAGCAAATATGGACATAAATCGATTGAGAAATCAGGTACTAGGAATGTGGGTGCTGGATCTGGGACAGGTAACATTGATCTAAATATCGAGCATAGCGTTAAGTTTGGTAAGACGGAGGCAACGCGAGATAAGGCAAGATTAATTTCGTTTACTCTAAGGTTTCGTTGAGTTGTAGAATTATATTAATTTTATTTGCGTTCTTCTTATGACAGCATGAAGAAACTTCAAATTTATCAAGCGTAAACAATTCCAATGATCACAATAATGAAACTTTACTGGATTCCGACGAGCAACCGAAATCGAGTCCTACATATAAAGAACAAATACGAAATCAGCAAATATTGCAACGTTCATCAAAATTAAGTAAACGAATGTTTCTATTAGAACTCATAAATAAAAGAGCTCTACCACGCGAGCGCAAGCAACCCAAAGACACTCGAATAAAGCAGATAGATCGAGAAAATTTATTTACGACTTTGGAGTCACTGCCAAAAAATTATGATCCCGATTGGAGAGCAAAAACTATGCCAGGATGGTTGAAACATAAATATGCTATTATGGAAAGGACAGGATTTGGAAAATGGGATCCAAAGAAAAAAGTGCCACGAGAAGTCATGGAAAAAATCAGAGCTCTACACGAACAGGTATACTTTTTCTGATGTGTTGTGGTGGTTTGGCTTCTATGTTTGAGCACCTAATCAAAAGTTCTATTTTAGGCGCCAGAAGAAAATAATTCGAAGACCCTATCGCAACAATTTAAAATATCACCCGAAGCCGTTCGCCGTATACTCAAATCAAAGTGGATACCGGATTCGATGAAGTTAGAAAGGCAAAAGCGGAAATTCGAAGAGAAGTTTGCGAAAATTAAAGCCGAGAGGAAGTTGAATCGGAAGGTAGCGAAGGAATCCAGGAAATTGAAAAAAAAGAAATCAGAATTATATGATGAAACAAGATATTTAGGTCACAGGAATCCCCAAAAACGGGTTAAACAGATTTTTAAACATAATTAACAATTTCATAAAACCTTAGATTTCACTGAATAATCAATATAACCAATGTCCTTTTATACCAAACACACAAAAACGAGTATACAGCATGTGCATTTAACTTTATGCGACTAAGTATTCACCAAGCATTGGGAAGAACAAACGAGATAAAATGGCGAAAAAAGATTAGTTACCAAAAAGACAATGATTTCATGACTTCATTATTTTAAGTCTTCTTTTCGCAAGTCATTGTGTATATTAAATTTGTCATGTACCACAAAACCTAGAATTTGCGCGTTTCATATGCTTCGTTTAAACTGTTAGAAAAGCAAAGCAAGTTTACATATATAGTGACTTACAATTGCACATATTTCTTATAATGTAAACTCAAATAAATTTTATTTTAACAAAAATTATAAAATTCAATATTAAATATTTATTCATATTTAATAAAAACTTTACAGTATATGTATTTTCAATTTATTTTGATTTTGATTTTAAAAAAATTATGTATCTATCATATACATCATTAAATAGTATAAACATTTCATGCAAAATTATCTTATTTTAAAATCAATTTAATAAACACAGTTCTGGAAAGAAAAACCGATCCTTTTTATTTATGTTTAAAATCTTTTTCTATTATATTAATACTAAAAAATAGAGTTGTTACTATTTTAAAATAAAAAATATATTCATTTTTAATATCATTAAATTTTATAGAATTTTATTAATTTTCTTTAAAATTCTTTTTTAATTTTTAAATTTATGAGTTAATAATATAGTGATTAATATTTTAATTTAAATCTTTATTACAAGATATCAAATTCAATTGCAAGTAAAAACAATTAAATTGATTTAATATAATATTTGATATTATTATTTAAATCATATTTAAAATTTTTTAATTCAAAAGTGCCTTCATATTTATTTTTTTAAATAATCAAAATATTTTTCTACAAATTTATATAAATTATTATAATTAAATAAAATATTATTTTAAGTTTTGTTTTTTACTTGTTATTATTAAAAATGTTTTAAAAATTATTAAAAAAAATTTTTTAATATACTGTATATAATAAAAATCCCAAACAAATAATAAAAAGAATCCAAGACATATGTATATAATAGTAAAAATCATATCCTATTTAATATTGATTGAATAAATTCCTTGTTTATAAAAAACTTAACATGTAAATTCATATTTTTATAAAAGACCCAAGTTTGTTGCACTAATTATGATCGCCACATTAAATTACGTAACGTGGTATTCTGCTTAGTATAAATATTATACAGTACATAATTTTTTTAATTGAAGTGTTCAAAATATGTTATTTGATTTTCTAAGTGATTTCAACAAGTTATTAGTGGACAATTCCACTGGTAATAATCGTTCAGGTTTTTTTTTTGCTTTTGCGATTAGTCATATATTGAAGTATCTTTGATTAATATATTACAGAAAAAAAAAACCTTTCATTCGTATTGGGAAACGAGTCCGCAGGTAAATTCCATTCTCTAAAATTCCTATTTTCTCTTCCTCAATCGAAATTCAGCGTTAACTTTAACTATCATTGTTCCCATTCAATTAATTTAGATTTGGATTCAATTATAGGATCAATCGCCTACGCCTATCTTAGCAATCACCTCACAAATTCCAATCAACTCTGTCTTCCGATTATCCAAGTCTCAAGATCGGATCTTCGAATCCGTCCAGAATGCGTATATGTATTCCAGGACTGTGGTTTCTCCACGGATGATCTAATTTTTATCGACGATGTAACGCCACATATTGAAAACCTGTTTTCAAATTACGATATACAATTGGTTCTCGTGGATCACAACGAACTAATTGGTGTTTGGAAAAAATTTCCTCAAAATGTGAATGTAATATTGGATCATCATGAGGAGAAAGGTTTATACATGAGCGCGAGGCTTAGATGTATTGAGAGCGTTGGATCCGCCACATCGTTGGTTGTATTGAACTTCAGGGAAATATGGGAAAGAGGTTTGGAAAGTGTCGACCCCGATACAGAAAACAGAGACGATCTAAAACCTCCCAAAATGTTCATCTGGCATAAAAACCTTGCCAAATTTCTACTGGCCCCAATCCTGGTAGATACAGTTCTTTTGGATGTTTCCAAAGGTAAAACTACCGATAAAGACCAAATGGCTGCCGATTTCCTGTTGAATTTTTTCCAAGTATCGGAGAATGTGGATATCTTCATCAAGACTTACTATGATAAAATACAACTGGCAAGATTTAACATAATTCACTTGTCAAATTTTGATCTTTTGCGTAAAGATTATAAAGAACGAGATATCGAAAAATATCGTGTGGGAATAAGTAGTATCGCCTGGAACTTGGATGCTTGGATTGAACGGGAAAGCCTTGGAAAATTGACCAGTGGGCTAAAAGATTATTGTCAAATGAGGAAGTTGGATCTTTTAATTGTAATGTTGGCATTTGATCATAAGGGCGTCAAAGGATTTCGTAGGGAGATGATCATCTATTCGGTAAACGGTCCATTCTGTAGGGAAGAGGTTCTAGAGGAATTTAAGGTGAGAATGATGGGCTTGGTAGAACATGAGATTGCCGGTGACAACATTGGCGAGATAGAAGTTAAACTTTATGACCAAAAGAATATTGGTCTGTCGCGAAAGCAAGTTTATCCAATTGTTGAAAATTTGTTTTCTGATAGGAGGTAGTGACATTTACTTCAATCAAAAATGCATTTAATAAAAATTCCTCTGTTACATCAAAATTCATTATAAAACTTGTAAGAATACAACTGGAAATCATTCACTCGAGTCCCAAATCTTCACTCTTCAGGAACTCTCTAATAAGCTCAAAATACCCAGGTTTTGTGACAGTATCGTAATGAGTGCCACCTATAATCTCTTTCCATTCCTTTCTTCCGGTGGTAGTTGCCAATTCATATAATGTCCTCATGTGCTGTAATGGAATGATCTCGTCTTTCGTTCCGGAAATGAATAATATTGGAATGTGATTGATCTTCGTGATGTTCTTGTCAGATGGCCAAATTTCGGAACAGATGAACGAGAAGTATCGAAGTTTTGGCGCCACATGAGGGATTATTCTTGGCTGCGTTGCGAGTTCAAGGATTTAAAGTTGGTTACAAATCTGTTTCTGTATATGACATTGTCACTTTAACATTAAATTTTAAAACTTACTATGCTAAGAAATGTATTTTCTATGATTAAACCAGAAACTTTAGATTCGTTTCTGGAGACCAGATCAATCGCTACTGCACCTCCAAAGGATTGTCCGTATATTATAAGTTTGGTGTCTTTTAGAAAATAGTCTTGCTTGATGTAATCGAGAACAGCCTATATCATAAAAAATTTACTAATCGTGTATGTAATTATCGTGCAATGAAATCTTTAGACACACTACCTGTGCATCAATGCGAATGCCCTTCTCGGATGGGGTCCCTTCGCTACGACCATATCTATTTTATTGAGTTCCATGCGAATTTCGGTAAATTTAACGTACTATAATTTATTCGTGACTCCTTCGGTTATACATACCCCCTGTAGGAAAGCAATACCACATTACATTCGAAATCTTTATAAAACCTTTCGGCTATTGGCAATCTGTGTCCCTAAACATTTTTCGAAATTCGAAATAAAACACAAAATACCCATTTCATCTTTAACATGTCACAAGATAGAATCCTACCATATTCCCGGCGTTTCCCTACAAAAAAAAATTCCGATTGATAAATGATTAAGCAAGCAATGAGTTCCAAAATCAAACCACCATGACAATATGAACTTACATGAAACATCAAAATGGTTGGTCTCTTGCTTGCCTCTTCCTCATTTGGTCTTTTGCAAACATAAGCACGAATCTTGATATCATCTTTTGTTGTCAAGATCACATTGGTATATGTGATGCCGTATTCTATAGGCTTTGGAACCTTTCAGAAATTTTATTAAATAATGTTCATTTCAAAGGAATCTTGTATACGCATCACACACAGCATTCGCCTAAGAAAGAAATTTGCATCTGATGGATGCGTATATTAAAAATCAAAAGAAATTTTACATGTTTTCGAGATCCTCGAGGGTAATTTGCAGTATAGATTAGTTTACATTGAAATGTATATAACAATGCAATTCCGCTAATCGCAATTGTTGTGCTTCCAGCGATAATGAATGATAATATTTTCTTGGATTTTTTATTTATTGACATCTTTCTATGCGCCAAGTTGTGCGATGGTTAGACGAATTCGCAGTCGAAGTGGGTTTGCAATGTAGGTTATTTTTTTTAATTAAGTAGTCAACTTTTTATTGACGAACACGTAAGTACGTACGTACAATCACTTGAACAAAGTATTCGTCCAAATTCGGACAAAACTTGGTTACATCATCTAGCGTTGTATTTCTGAGTACGAATATATTTTGTTCGGGTGATTATGCGCACTGTATGCATACCACGTACTACTACCAACATTACATCTCTGGATAGACGTTTTCGATTGAATCGATTAGCTAGGTGCTTTCCGAATCTCTTTCTCCAGATTGTAACAGTGTATGGTATTGAATCAAAAAATTGCCGTGTGAAAAGTTGAGAACCATATGATTTATGAATTTTGATCTTTAAAATCATTCAAAGATCGTCAAATAAAAATTTGTATGGCGACTTTCTACCATAATATCTAAATTGAACAATTTCGAGTATCACTCATGTATTAACTATTTAATAGGTACGATTTTTTGTTTGTAATTTATTTTTGTCAAAAAAAATTCCAAAGGGCTATAAGCAATCTATTGAACAAAGATCGCGTAAAATTTCACACTATGTAAAAAATTTTCAAAAAAAAAAACACTTTCTTTACATCAATTATTTCTAATATACTGTAAATGCTTTTTATCAAATTTTGTTAGATATTCAAAAAATCTTTTATGTAAATATATCTTTTAATTCTAAAATAATTAACTTACTATAATTATTGATATAAAAATTTCTGATTAATCTTATGAACTTGATTAGTACTTAAAGATTATAAGTGTTATATATTTTTTTAAAGGTTTTAAAAATTGAAATACTTTTCTAAATCATATATGTTTTAACATTCTGAAAATCTTTTTGTTCTATATAATGAATGCTATTGTCTAGATTAGGGTTATTTGTCATTGGATTTTTTAAAAAATAAATTAAAAAAATGGTTCAAGTATTATTTTAAATTGTTAATTTAGACTGTTAATATTAATTGATTTTAAAGCATTTATAAAATTAATTCTTGAAATTATTAATAAAAAATTATAAAAAATCAATTAATTAATTTATTATTATTATTATTATTATTATTTGAAATAAATATGTAATAATGCAAACCTTTATTAATACTTAATATTTTTTTTTTAAACTAGAACAATTATTAATCAGACTTTTATTTATAAGGAATTACTTTTTACTAATAATTTTACAAATGGAAAGGCTAACATATATCTCTTTTTGCTAAAAAAAGTCTAATGCAAGACTCAAAAAAATAGTTCACCTATCCTAGTTTTTTTTTTTCAATAACTATCTAAGTAGTAGCAAAAAGATTTTCAAATCTATATATCTTGAACAGTATCTACTGTAAACCACTACATACAATACCCCGGGTATTAATCATTTCACCAGAAAAGTTACTTAAGGAAAAAAAGAAAAATACTATTAAAAAAATCAGGAAGGGTACTATTCAAGGGGGGGTATTGTATGCAGT